CCCCCGCCAGTGTTAGTGCTGCTGATAAGAGCCGACACCACTAACACCTAGGGAGAGGCTCCGTCTATTGGTGGGGAGTATAACAGTTTCTCCTTTTCAAAAGGACAAGAGGTGGTGAACAGACCTAAAAACCGCAGCAGAAGTCTGAAAACTCTAAATTCTATTTCACGATCATTACATAATTGTGAAGCGTGAAGCGTGAAACGTGAAGCCCTCCTCCTGCTGCTACTGTTGATCCGCTGCTGATGTAGGTCGTGCCCTCTCAAAAAAAAAAAAAAAAAAAAAAAAAAAAAAAAAAGAACCAATCCTCTCAGGATGCTTGTCGAACCAAGAGTTCATGATTGGAGGACACTACCTTTCCGTAATCTCCAGGACCACGGTCCCACTAGCAAAGAGGATAGGATTAACCTCCTGAATCTGGGCGCGTTTTACCTGGAGCAAAGGCAGCTCAATCTCGATTTCCTGCACCTCTCCACAAACACGTCCAGATTCAGACATTCGATCCGATCCTCTTTGCTAGTGGGACCACGCCCCAGCAGAAGTTAAGCAGGGTGGGTAAAAAATTTCAAGAAGGTATGTCCTTGCCATCCAGGCACGAAAACATCAAACACCACTGAGAAGTAATCGGACCCCTCACACTGCCCCTGGCTTCAAAGTATAAACTAATCTAGCCTGGAACCAGGTTGGATACATCAGTTTACTGTGACGAGCACTTCATATGCGTGTGCTCCTCCCAACCTTGCTCCCACCATCGCCGGTCACACTCCCACTGCCCCCGGGGACACCGCTGTTGGATGCACAGTTGCTGCACACTAGTCTCTCTCTCTCTCTCTCTCTCTCTCTCTCTCTCTCTCTCTCTCTCTCTTGTCGAACGGATTTATGAATCTGATAGGTCTACAGTGTTAGTGTATGGCGTTATCAAACGGCTGTAGGGGCTGCCAGGATGCTCCAGAGTAAGAGTACAGAGGCACACCCTAACCCACTCAAGGGCTTAGGTTACCCTGGAGCACTGTCACTATGGCTCCACACAGCTGTAGAGCCTGGCGTAAGGCATTCTTATCTAATGCCCAGATTGCGCTAATCAGTGATCACAAAATTGTGATTAATTTTCACTACAACGAATATTCGTTCCATGTTCACTAGAGGCCGCCCTTGAAATTGGCACCCTTGAAACGAAAACACCCTGGGCCCCCGTTTCGCGGCGAGTTGGTGAGGGCCGTGAAATCCAGTCCTGAGGCCCCCGGACGAAAAGATGCCCGTCTTCTGGCGGGCCCACTGAACCGAAGGACCGGTGCGGGGACCATCGAGAGGCGGTTAATGGAAGGCCCAAAATTCGGCGAATTTTGGCGAATTTTTCACCATCGTCCGATGGAATTGCGGGTTGGCACGCATGGTCCTGCCTGACTTCCCATTTGCTTGCAGTACACACGACACTCATGTTGTCGTGTCTACCTCAACAAACCACCACCCACCCCTTCCCAACCCCGGCCCTTCCCCTCCGTCCGCACGAATGTTTGAATTTTGAAAACGGTAAACTCACAACGGGCTTGCGTAGCGCGGCAACGGCCTGAAATGCCCGCGGTACCGCTGCTGGGACAACGGCCTAAAATGACCGTGGTACCACTGCTTCCCCCGGCCACCAGCAACGGACTGTATGCTGTTCTCCACACGGCCACCAACAAAAACCGACCATGATCCAGGAACAGACGAAAATGTGAAAAAAAACAAAAAACAAAAAAAAAACTGGTTTCCGCGGCTGTCCAAAGGGTGCGCTCTTGAACTCAAGTCACCTCCGAGAGGTGACTTGAATTCAAGGGCGATTTTGGCTGTGTCGCTCTCGAGTTTCAAGGGCGCACCCTTGGGACGCAAAAAAGTGGAAACAAAGCGGGTCGCTCTAAGGGGGGGGTGGAAGGTTCGCTCTTGAACTCAAGTGGTGTGGAACGAGGCCCTAAGCCCCTGATGACACTTTTTGCACGCAGGCTTATCTGGTGTAAAATGCAAACTTAAAAAGATTTTGACCATCACTGCACCCTGACTGCAGCCACTTTTTGCTGACATGGAACATAGGGCCTCACTCCACTAATCACCAAATGTGCAAAATGAGGATGGATCTTCCGCCTACAACATGGAAAAATTTTGCAGATTCTGACAGCCACTGCAGAAGGAACCTGACCTGATGACACTTTTTGCACACAGACTTTTTTTTTTTTTTTTTTTTTTTTTTTTTTTTTTTTTTTTTTTTTTTTTTTTTTTTTTTTTTTTTTTTTTTTTT